CAGTAGCTGTTGTGTTATCACAATTTACAAGTCATGTTCCAATCATTTCTGCAGGGTCCTTTCACACTGGCAGTTATGAACGAAACAGTCACCCACGCAATGACCTCAAGGTTTTGCTGCTGCTGCTGCCTCTGCATTTGCATCTTCTCCTTTTCAATTTTTAATCATATTTATGATTGAGACTGCGCCTCCCAAAGCCCAAACCTGCTGGCAAAGACTGACAATGAGCCAACATCCAGCATACTCAAGGGCTCTTTTGTGGGGGTAAGGACAATGTGGGTTTGAATTTTCCAACTATTTTGGAGTGCGTCAACTGAGTCATGATTCCTGTTGACAGTCTGTAGTTAATATTAAACGTAGCCAGAGACAGCAGTCTCACAGCAAAACGTCTAATAAAACATACAGACCCAGAAATGTCAGAAGTGCAGAAGTTGAGGATGTTTCCACATACCAAAAAAACACCAGCTGCCCCCGCACGGGAGATGTACTGCATTTTAATAGCCCTCGCTTCAGCCTTCCTCTGCTGAAACATGTGCCTTACCACCACTGCCAAAGTTGCCATGGAAATGGGTTTCGATGTGAGAAAATACCACACAGTGAAAATTCCCTCTAATCTCTCCCCATCTACTCAAAACTAAAAAAAGGCTCGCATTCAAGAGCCCTTTCAAGCTTATGAACTCAAACAGTCACAGCCTTTACTCTACTCCTATACAGTAAAACTAGGGCTGTCACTATTTTAACTAATTCAGTAATCTATTGATTATTTTGACAAATTATTAAGAGATCAGTTAATAAAAAAGCCAGAACAATTACAACTGAACAATAATATTTTTCTGCTAATTTCAGTGCACAATTACTATTTATTTGCTATTTAGAGTCTAACAGACTGGAAAAAATATAACATAAATAATAAAATTTGCCATAACTTTTGTACAGGCCACATCTTATGTTCTATTTTTTTTTTTTTCCCCAGTATGTCAAATAACAAACAGTAACTGTGCAGAAGTGTGTTCCATGTAAAGGCTGGGTACTTATTTTCACTTAGAAAATCAACAAAACATGTAATAGTCAGGGGTGCTCAAACTTTTGGATATGACTGTAAATGGGTATGTTTATCAGACTTTTTCATAAAGCAATAGAGAGCAGTAGGATCATTGAAAATACTGTCAACTTCATTAAGAAGGTCAATTTTAATAAAAATCCACAGCCAATCATCGATCCCCTTTACCTGAATACTAATATAGTGCACCTGTCTTGTTTGTCATATGACCTATGATAGACAGAATTCAAAGCCCAGGTCATTGTGAGGTATTGCTTCTTTCACTAGAGCTACTGAGCTGTCCATTCTGTTTGTTTGATTTGTCTGTGTTCTTGGACTTTTTGTCCTTCCTTTTTTGGATCATGTCTACCTGTTCCTGTCTTTGTTGTGTTGACCCACGCATGTTTAACAACCATGAGTATAGATTGTGTTCTAACTAGTAAAGCCTCATTTTCTACTTTTACCCAAGAGCGTCTTGCTGGTTCTGTCACATTACAAAACCTGTGTTCTAACAGCACCCCCTTCTGGAGAAATGTCAGACTGCTTAATGTACACAAGTGAGTGAGTTCAAGCCATGTCCACATGCTTTACACACACACACACACACACATATATATATATATATATATGAGAGGTGTTTTCTGTCATTATGGAGGCACTCTGGAATTTAGCTACAGAGGCCAGTGGGAGAATATATAGTATTTAAACCATCAAAATACTTAAGTTGTACAGACAACACTGAGAAATTTCCTCAGCCAGTATGTTGCACTTTGGGAAACCTGCAGCAGAGACTGTGGAAAATTTACCAAAGCCTTACAGCTTTTTAATGCCTTGTAATAATGTATTGATTTAACAGTAAAGTAAATAAAACATTACATGTACCTCTAAAGCATCATCATCTGCTTACATGTCAGTCAGTGTTCATTACATTGCCCTAACGCACAGGCCTACTCACAGTCATTCTGATGTTAAGGACATGAGAAAAACTTCTTTCAGCAAACATTCTGCTTATGTCCTCTTAAAGAAGAGGGTGACAGTGAAGCCATTCTAGATTGAGAGGCCCTCTAATGGAGGAGTAGGGAGCAAGCTGCTGCCATGCCACTGGGAATAAAGAGGGAACACAGTGCTCTTTTTAAATGAGACTAACTATAATCAATGAACAGTGGTTAGTGCAATCAGACAAGTGGCCCCAGTAACTCAGACCTGCTACAGCAGAGACCAAGCCCTGGCAATGATGTGGTTTGACTGTTCTTGATAAAGGTGTAATGAATGAATAGTCCATATATTTCTACTTGTTAAAATTATAATAGAGGCTAAATCTTACCATGCTAATACACTGTTGTTAATTTGCACCCTACTGTTCATATAAGGTCAGGATATAATGAATTACCTCTTCTAAACCGACTTTGTATTAAACAACTCTGATGTAACCTCAACTTCAAATTCACTTAAGCGCACATTCAAGCTTTCCGAGGGAAAAAGTTCCATGCATGGAAGACTGCAGGACGTCCTTGACCACAGTAAGATGTGCTGCTGTAGAATGATCTTTTACTGCCCTGTTCTAAAGAGGATGTGGGCTACAAAATTTCCAAAACATTCACTTTGCTACAAATAGCAAGTTTCTGACATTTAAATTTTCCAAATTGACAGTCATCTCTGATGGGTTGACTGATACTATTGCTAATTGGATCAAGCCCACTACAACAACAGCAGCCCACAAAACACAGAGCTTCTGTTGTTATTCAGGTCTGTGAGATAGACTTGTTAAGCAGATAAGGATCAGACAAAAAGAGCTGCGTCAGGAGGCAGAGAGAGAGAGAGAGAGAGAGAGAGAGAGAGAGAGAGAGAGAGAAAGAAATGCACGCTAGATAGAGAGAGATGTAAAACAGAAGAAAGAAAAGAAAAAAGAAAGATAAATGAGAGAGAGAGAGAGAGAGAGAGAGAGAGAGAGAGAGAGAGAGAGAGAGCGAGAGAGAGATGAGCTAGGGAGAAAGAGAGACAGACAAATACATACTAGAGCAACTAGAAAGGAAGAAAGAAAGAAACAAACAAACAAACAAACAAAGAGACAGAGGGAGGGGAAGGACTGCAGACAGAGAGAAACAAAGAGGAAGAGAGAGATGAGCTAGGGAGAAATGAGAGAGAAAAAAGAAATACATGGAAAAAGAGATAAACTAGAGAGAGAGAAAAAAGAAACAACAATACAAGCTAGTAAAACAGAAAGAAAGGGGAGAGAAGAATACAAGCCAGAGATACAGAGCAAGAGAGAGAGAAAGAATGAGGAATATAAGCTTGAGAGAGAGAAAAAGAGAGAGAGCAGGGAGGGAAAGAGGGAGAGAGAGAGGGAGAAAGAGAGAGAGAGGGAGAAAGAGCAGGAAGGGAGAGAGGGAGAAAGAGTAGAGAGGGAGAAAGGGAGAGAGAGAGAGAGAGAGGGAGAGAGAGAGAGAGAGAGAGCAGGGAAACTTGCCAGAAGAGAAAGAAACAAAACACAAGCCATAGAGAAAGAGAAAGCTACAGAGATGAGAGGCAGGCAGAGAGAGAGAGAGAAAGAGAAAAGAGTGAGAGATGCACACTAGACAGAGAGAGATATAAAGCAGATGGAAGAAAAGAGAAAGAAGAAAGAGATAAATGTAAGATAGAGAGAGAGAGGGAGAGAGTCAGAGAGAGAGAGAGAGAGAGAGAGATGAATGACAGAAGACAAAGAAAAACAATTAGACAGCAAGAGAGATAAATACATACAAGCCATAGAGAAAGAGAAAGCTATACAGAACAAAGTATGAACGCGAGTAGGGAGAGAGAGAGAGAGAGAGAGAGAGAGAGAGAAGTGAACTACAGAAGAGAGAGGGAGGGGGGAGAGAGAGGGGAGGGGGAGATGAGAGAGTGAAGTGCTTTATTTTTCTTCACGAGAAGATTACATCACTGGGTTTGGTGGAGTAGATGGCAGTAAACACGCTGAGAACTGATACCTCCTTCACTGCCCGCTCAACAAACGAATTAGATCTGCAGTAATAACACAGCCTGAATTTGATGAAATAGCCTTTAACAATAATCCAGGCAGTCCAAAATAATTTACTAATGGGACACTGAAGACCCTGAGTCATGGAAAATCTGCTTCAGGAGTCATTACAGGTAAAGCAGAAGACTATATACACATTTATTTAGCATTCAGGTTTAATAGGACAAAAAACTAGAGAACTGTCTTAGCTCTGCTGTCCTACAGAGCTCTCAGATGTACTCCAGTTGCTATGCCTGTGAGGCATTACTTCATGAGCTCCTTCATAATAGAAAGGCCATTCAACAAACCCAAGCACTACTGCACTCCCATAATTCCCTCAATAACTACAGTCACTAAACAGCAGGCTAGCTGTGGGCTGAAACCATAGAAACCATCAGGCTGTTGAGCTTGCATGGAAGCAGGGCCTATAACTCTTTTTCACACTGCCTGAGGAGCAGCCAGCATGCTAAAGCTCACAAGCCGTTTGATAACCAGTGTAAATTCTGCAGGACATTCATTGCGTGTTAAAGGTGCTGAGAGGCTGAGAAATGCCTTCCAGGCACAGCGCATCGCACGAATCTCTTTAATTGCTCATCTTAATCTTTGCCGCATCCAGCCATCAGCACTTCTGGCGGTACGAGAGTGAGGTGTTTATCACATGTGAGGGCCACCTCAGCAAATCTCACACACTGCAGACATCAATTCTTGAGAATGTGCTCATACTAGGTTCACTGCCTGGAACACGGATTACACAACCATAGCAGCCACCGCACACAGCATCCAGCGGTGGTTGTATATGGCAGCCAACCTGCTCTGATAACAGACATTAAATGTCTAGGCTATAATAGGCTATCTATGCTACACTGGTACCGCTGAGGAGAACTGACTGGTCCAGTAGACTGGTCAGGAGAGTGCTAGGACAGTGAGCAGTGAAGTCATCCCTGAAAGAGGCAGAGTAACTCTCACCTGGAGAACCCAGCAGGAGCTGCACCACATCATCATACAGCAGCAGGGTGGCTGGTCTCTGAGGGAGCAGGTACAGACTCACTGAGGCATACACTGGCAGAGAGACAGTGAGAGAGACAAACAGACCGTGGAGAAGAGAGAGAGAGAGAGAGAGAGAGAGAAAGAAAATCAGCAAATCATCCATTTTTTTCTATGCATCATTATATGATACCTCATCTCCTTCACACATCAATAGGGCTGTTACAATTTACCTTCTTGCTGAATCAGTAATGGCCGGCAATTTGTGTGTCAACGTTTAATTTAAATTCTGCTGAGGGTCTCTCCAACAGTAAGAAACAGCCTGAACATCACACCAATTTAATGCATATTTTTGCATGAAAGTATTATTTTATTAAATACATTTTTTTTTTTTAAATATTTTCATTATGTCTTTTTAAAATGTTTGTTTATCCTTTTCCAGTGACGTTTTGGAAGGGCTGTGCTTGGTCTGATATTGTTCAGTTAAGTTCATTTTTATTGTTTGGCCTTTAACATAAACAAACAAACAAACAAAAAAAACTCTGATTACTCAACAATCTTTCAAATAGATTACTCGATTACTAATGTTATTAATGATGACTCTGAATGCCCACATGACCCATAGTACACATTAACTTTACAGTCTTCCAGAAGATGCGCGAGGATGTTTTTCAGTTGCAATGAATAAACAACAGATATTTAACTAGTTTCGCAGTTTTGCTGAGTGCCAGCACATGTGTGAGGAACATGATTCAGCAAACCTGAATCACCAGGCACACAATGCTGCAGGCAAACAAGTGAAGCTACACAGGGAACTCAGATTTAGCTTCAAAGATCTTTGACAATCCACAGAAACTGTTGTGTGATAACAGAAGTGTGCAATATATTATAGTACTGTATACACAGGGCTGAGATTAGTCCTCTGATGTAGGTTATGTCCGAAAACAAGCACAGAATATCACTATACTTTAAGACATTTTCAAAAGACACAATATGTATTACAAAATGTAGTTTTTCTGAGGTTTGATAAGTCAGAACTGATATTTATTCAACATTAACCAATTAAACAGGAGTAATTGTGCTCTTTTAGGCATGACACTGTTCAAAACAGAATGCAATGATGTGCAAATCATTTAAAATCTGTATTTAACTGAAAATAGTACAAAGACAACATATCAAATGTTGAAACTGAGAAATTTTTTAAAATTTGCCCATTTTGAATTTCATGCCAGCAATACATTTAAAAAAATTGGGACAGGGCAAAAGGGTAGTAAAGTGCAATGCTAAAAAAACAGCTGGTGGAACATCTCACAACTGATTAGGTTAACTGACTTGCACATTTGTAAAGGCACCATTAATGCTGAAGGATATATACAGGTTTCGGAGCAACATAGGCAGCCATCCAGACAAGGTCTATTCATGGAAGGCCTCGGTTATGTGCTAAACTGGTCTGCCTGCAGTCCAGACGTGTCACCCACTGAAAACATGGTGCATTATGAAATGAAAAATACCACAAAGAAGACAAACTGAAGAGGAGCTGAAATCCTGTATCAAAGTGGGAAAACATTTCACTGTCAAAACTACAGCAACTGGTCTCCTCAGCTCCCAAACGCTTACAGAGTTGTTAATAGAAAAGGTGATGCATCTTTTTTGAAACGTTGCTGGCATCTAGTTCAAAATGTGCATGCGATTTTCAAAAAACAATAACATTTCTCAGCTTCAACATTTCATGTTGTCTCCGTACCATTTTCAATAAAAAAGTTTTACATCATTGCATTCTATTTTCTACTTTTTCATAGCGTCCCAACAATTTTGAAAACAGGGTTGTACTACTGATTGTTCAAATCACATTTTAGGAGACATTAGCAAAAAACCCAGATCATTCCAAAGGTGAGTTCTGGTTTTTCCACACAACTGTAATTCTGCAGTAAAATTAGCTGAATGTCATATAAGACTGCTTCACGCTCTTTGTAGGCAGTTACATATGGGTTGGCAAAGCTCCAGGAGACCGGGGCATGCTGGGAGCTGTAAACCTCTACGCCCAGCTCCCATCTGTTGCACTCTATGGCCGTGCCAATGACCCCCCATTGAGGCGGTCTGTCCCAGCACAGACTTACCTATGTTTCAGTAGTAGTTTAGAGTTCGCTGATGTGTTTTAATACACTGCAAGGAACATCGCAATGACAGTGTGTTGCAATATAATCACAGTCTAGCATTTTGCCCATATCTTGCAGCACTGAAACAGATCCACATTAGAATCTGAAGACTGTCATTCAAAGATTGATCATTGCGCTTAGGGAATGGGCCTGTGTTTGTTTACAAGCACTAAATGGAGAAGATTTGGCATGCTTTCCAAGACCGTGATGCATTCAGCAGACTTCCTATCAAAGATCGCCTGCACTTACCAGCGCAGATGCTTGAAGCAGGAGGGAGCCTGATCTCTTTAATAATATGCTCAGCGGGTACATGAAACAAAAAGAGGTAATGATATGAATACAACATGTACAGAAAAGGTGTCAAAGGGAGTCGAAGGAAATGTGAAATATGAAGGGATAATAAGGCATGAAAAGGCAAAAATGGACAGTAAGAATGGTGATCTGAGGTGAGTTAGAGGTATCACTGATTTTAAGTCAGAATACTTAGAATTTTTGGCAAAATTCTCCTCAAATTCTAGCTGGAGTCAATAAAATATATCGTTGCTGTCTGAACAAACCTATGCATTTTTAATGCTTTTACACAGTTTTTAAACACCAATTGCCTTTTTACAGTGTGGCAACATTTTACGATGAACAGACCAACAGAAATGTTCCTAAATTGCTGTTACATTTACTTAAAGGTACAATGTTGGTGAGACAATGTTTTGTTCCGACAGCAACGATATGCTCAGAGTACAAAAATCTGGTTGCTGGATTGCCCAGGCTCTTTTAACAGAAGAAAAACAAATGTTGTGGACCACCAACATCCAACCAATCAAGATAAGAAGGCATCCCTACTTCTCTCTGAATCACAGGCAGAGCCAATCGTCTTGTTTGTGAAGGCGTTAAACTCCGCAAACTATTTATGTGATTTTTGAAATGCTAATGTGGGGTTAATAGGCCTCTCCTCTTTCAAAGAGACAGAAGCCTGGTTTTGTATGGAAATAACTTCTTTATCAATATGGCTGCTGAATAAACAGACTTTCCTGTAAGGATTTTAATGGCACATAGGGGAATCCGTAGGCCTGCCTTAGCGCTGGAACTAGCTAAAAATTAGATTTGTGATACAATGCAAAACTACCACTGGCTACATCTTTAAAGAACTAGCAGACAAAATATCATGTTGACGGCGATGGCTTACACCCCTAAACCATCCACAAAAAAAGAAGACGAAGAAGAAGAAGAAGAGAAATTGAAAAGAAAACGACCTGTGATCTAGGAAGGAGTAAACAATTGGCTTTTTAATGCTGGCCACAGCAAAGGTAGTTGAAAGGCATAAAGAGTGATATCCACCTTGCTAACTCTGGTTAGCTTTGCACTTTATTTAAATAACAGAGTTTGCTTTGGGATTTAAGACACTCATTCCAACAAGCTTAATGACAGCTAGCTAACTAACTAGCTGCTATATTAGCTAACATTAGCTAATTCACATTGTTTCCACCTCTAATAGTGTGAATTACATTGGTGGGGAGGTCAGGTTTGTCCCCATGGTGACTGCACAGGGTTCCTAACTACACGTTATAGTACAGCTGCTTGCTTCAGTAAACCGAAGTGAGACATTTGTTCAGTTTTATAGGACGTAAACAACACTAGACAGCGGTCAGCAACCCAAATATTAAGAAGAGCCATTTTGTCCTTTCAACAAAAATCAACCCACCTTGGAAGCCACAATGTTTTATGTCTGTTTTATCATCTTAGCTGTAAATATGTCTCAGTATGTGCTGATGTACTAATACAGGCTAAAAAGTATAACATAAAGAAAAAGCAAACTTACTTTGCTCTGCTTTAAGCTTTCGCTCAGCTACAGCTGCTTTTCTCACATCTCCAGCAGGAAACTTTTCTGCAAAATGTCCCTTAACGTCTGATTTTACGAGGCTGAAGTCATTTCTCATTCGCAGCTTCTTGTTCTAATTTTCTCGTTCCACCTTAAATGGTGCCTGAAGCACCAGAATGTAACTGCTGCACCATTTAAGGTGGAACGGGACAATTCGAACAAGAAGCTGGCGAATTAGAAGCTGACTTTCTATCATTTGACAGTTTTTGGTTGCAGATTAAATGTATCAGGAAACCAGCTGGAGTGATTATAAATACAAATAACCCCATTCATCACCAAATTGTCAGTGTTCGTCTAAAGTCTTTCTCTTTGCTTTTTCGTTAGCTATTAAGCTAAGCAACATTGTTGCCTGTGTTGTTGTGGTGACCAGCAGTCTGTGTGCCAGTGTTCAAGGTTAAATGGTGAATTAGCAGTTCTACATTAACTCCAGCGTTTAAGACCATTTATTGCTAAAACTGTGTTTGAACGATCAGCAGAGCTTTATTTTACTGCAAAGGAGGATTATTTTATTTATACCTAAAAACCTAATTCAGCTGTGGAGAGCACATGTTGATGACCCCTGTACTAGTCCATGGTAGAGGTACCTACCAATCTAGTAGCTAACAAGCAAGGTAAGTTGACCAACACTAAAGCAACACTCATCAAGCAACACTACACATGTGACCTAAAAGTCAACAGTTAACAGAGTTCTGTTTGAATTACTGGACTAATTCACAAAAAAAGTCCTAGATATTTGACGACAAGCCTGAGATTGTTAACCCATTTTCACAACAGCCATAAAATGCAATTTCCATCTGTTTTGAAGTTTCGTCATTTTGCATTTCATAGGTTACAAAGCAAGTCAATATTTGTTGTTTAAGTAAGTCAACATTTGTGTTTAAATGCTGTTTTCATCATGTAAGTGTACAAAACACTTAGGAAAGCTGTTTTTTTTTGTTAAGAAGTTGTGCTCTTTTTTAATATCAGCTGTCTTTGTGGAAAGGTTTGAAATGTTTTTACAGCAGGGGGTTCTGACTCCTCCACTTTCAACCATCATTGCTCACTAG